ATCTGGCATTAACGACTCTGGAGTAGCTCTGCCTTGATACCTAATCAGGCCCTAAAATGCACTTCCGAACATACAAGCAGGTATACATATATATGCATAGATGTGTATACTTACATGGACGTACACGTTAAGACGCATGCCATCATTTGCAGTGAAATTGGAAATACGAGCATAATATAGACCCAGAGATAGAAGCGACACCTGATGGAACAAGCCAATATCTTTTCTCGAGGCACTACAGCCAGCTGTTCGGTGCCTTGTCCTGCCTTGTGCAACAGGAAAAGATGGCAGAGTCTGTAACGACAATTAAACCAGATGGTACCTACGCCTACGCAGTGCAGGACGGAACCAACGCCGACTGCGAGGCCGCAGTGGCCTACTGGAAAGAAGCCTTCGCCAACTTCGACGGCCTGCCGCCAGCTAACAGCACCGACACAACTGTGTACAAAAGCGCCCAAAATGTCTCTTTCATCTCTCTGTTTAACCCTGACGAGAATCCCAAGGTGGACTGCGCATACTTCACATGCCCGGCAGCAGCAACGCCAACGGGAGCCAGGGGAGGGGAAACGGACAAGGAATTGAAGGCACTTTTGTGTGTCACGACCCCCAAAGCCTTGACAGACGCCGATGCTCCCTTCACGTAAGTTGACCCCTTAAACTTGCGACTGTCATCTCCCCTTAGAGTATTGAAAACCCTTACCTTCTCTCTTTGACTCTTCTACAGCAAGGTGAGTTGCTTGAGACTGTTTGTGCGTCTCAGTCAAGAAGAGTGGGATCGCATCACCAAGGCCATCAATTCCGGCAGCGCAGCAGTGCCGACTTTCTTCGCCGTTGCTGCGGCAGCAGTGGCTGCTCTTTTCTTGTAAAGAATCACTTGAGTTATCAACTCAAACGACAGCGCTTGTATGTCTGGCATTTACAGTTTATTGGGGACGGTTAAAGGAAGTCCCTCGGGACGGTCACCTGCTGACTTTTGCGGCTGGTTTCCTGCAACTTTGTCGTAATTGCCTCAAACTTCCTTACGTAAGGCTCCAACAGCGTAAGTTGTCTCAGTAGACAACTTAATTAAGGGCATATCTTTCCTTAAAGTAGGGGCAGCACAAGTCCTAGCTAGCCAACAGGGCTTAAGGAAAAGAAGGCCTTCTGCCGTGTGTTAAGAGGGCTTAACTTCAAGTTTTCTCACGATAAATATATCGAAATCAGCGTCTCTATACTAAATCAACTGGTTACAAGCACAACATTGAAGATGTGTGTGTGCCAGTAGTGCGGACTCCTGTGAATAGTAGTTGTCTTAAAATGAGATGCTGTGAGAGCCCAGTTCTAGCGAGGGGTGGCAGAAAAGGACGGCAACTGCGGACGGAACAAATGAAGCATGGAAAGCCCTACAAGTTGAACTGAATTGTGCCGTTGGGCCGTCTTGGTGTGGGGTTGTTCCCATTGCTGGGATCGAGATCACAGGAATACATTAGCTGAGTTCATGTTGTGGTAAATCTTGGAGCCGCGACAAAATGTACTTTTGGCTGTTAGCAGAAGTACCGAAACACATTTATGCTGAGCTTGGTAGGAAGCAGCAGGCACGCTCTGAAAATGTTTAGAAGTTTAGTTACCCGTCGATGAGCGTGATCATTTGCAGCATCTGCCATCCTATAAGACTGCAGACGACGAACAATTCACTGCACGAATAATCTTTTTAGACGGCTTAAAAGCTTATGAAGCGTCAGCATGCCTTACGAAGGAAAAGAGGGCTGTGTCCACGTCTGGTACTCTTTAATAAGAATAATAAACTTACGGCAAGTGTGAGGCGCGGCAACTGAAGGGGAAGCCCTTCGGCTGAGGAAACATTTGTAAATTTGGGGCGAAGCAGTCTGAAGTGCTCTTTATTTAGGAAAAATTACCTAAACTTGAGCAAGGCGACAGATAGAGCGGAGTGAGCGGGAGACCTGAAATTGCGGGACTAGAGGTAACGAACTGGAACTCTAGCGACTACGCCCCTCTGCAGGAGGGACCACAGCACGGTGACAAGGAACCTAGCTGCAAGCAACAAAGTCACGATAATGTTGGGGTAAAATGCGTTCAGCTGGCCACTTGAAGATTGCTGCAACATCTATATGGAACCTAAGGCATCGTAGGCTTCTGCCAGAGAAACGCAAGCGGCCGCGGGAACATATTGGTACGGCTTTTCTCACATGAACGTGTACTAAATCCTCTCACGAAGATTATAACTGCTTGAAAAAAGGACTTATATATCCTAAATACACACCATTAATCGCGGCTTCTGTGCTTACCTGCAGGGGAGCCCCGAGGCCGCGACCAGTGGAGCCGAACCGCTCCTGCCTCTAAGCAAACTTTCCCCCAAGGAGTTAGCCGCGCTTCCTGAGCCTTTGCCTCATTTCGGTGGTATTTTAGATACTGAAAATCTATATTTTCACGGTGTCTCGAGGATGGGTGTTGTCAGGCTCCTCTCTTTGGCGGCGGCCGCCGTCCTCTTGGCTAGGGTCGACGGGCAGGAACCAGAAAACACTGCTACAAACAAGGCAGGTGAGCCCATAAGAATCAGAATTACAAATGTGTTTGGTCTTGATGAGAGAAAAAAAACTAAAGGGATTAGACGGTGACGTTGTCGAGCGTGCGGTTGCAGTACGGGTAAATTGCTCGTCCCAGATGAACGCAGCGCGGAGCCTTGCGGGCTTTACTGGATTCCAAGCAGCAGCAGATAGTGCTAATCCTCCTGAACAGCTCCCTATTTATTCATCAAGTACAAAAGGTCGGTCTGGGAGTACCGAGCTAAACACAGGATACCTGACGGCCGTTTGCCAAGCTATGAAACAGGTACGGCTTCGCAATTAAGCCACAGGAATCCCTCGGTCCCGAAATCGGCTGAAATACTAAAAAATACACCCTGATGCATAAAATAATATACGTAGATATGCATATGCATGTACATACACACACACACACACACACACACACACCAAAGTCCACGCCGCCCGTTGCTGTGACGCACGCCAAAGGACCGCAACACGAACACGTGGACTCAAGGGACAATGTCAGCACAGGCTAACTATGCGCCAACACCTGATGGAACGAACCCAGCCCATTACTAAAGGTTGGATGGTTTGTGCAACTTGAACAGAACACGGTGACTGAAGGGGAAATTAAACCAGACGGTACCTACGCGTACGCAGTGCAAGAAGGAACCGACGCTGACTGCCAGGCCGCAGTGGATCACTGGAAAGAAGCCTTCACCAACTTCGACGGTTTGCCTCCTCCTTACGATAAAACTACAGATGTTTACAAGGCAGCCAACAATGTGTCATTTATATCTCTGTTCAACCCTCAAGAGAACCCCAAAGTGGACTGCGCATACTTCACATGCCCAGCAGGGGTGAAGGCTAAGGGAGTCGATTCTGGAACTGGAGATGACAAAGAATTGAAGGCACTTCTGTGTGTTACGACCCCCAAAGCCTTGACAGCGGAAGTAGCTCCCTTCACGTAAGTTGACCCCTTAAACATGCGACTGTCGTTGCCCCTTACTACAATATTGAAAACCCTCATCTTCTCTCCTTGACTCCTCTCCAGCAAGGTGAGTTTGTTGAGACTGTTTGTGCGTCTCAGTCAAGAACAGTGGGATCGCATCACCAAGGCCATCAATTCCGGCAGCGCAGCAATGCCGACTTTCTTCGCTGTTGCAGCCGCAGCAGTGGCTGCTTTTTTCTTGTAAAGAACCCCTTGAGTTATCAACTCAAGCTACAGCGCTTGTACATCTGCCATTCACAATTTTCTGGGGAGGCATAAACGAAGTCTTTCGGGACACTCAGCTCTCGACATTTGTGGGTTGCATCCCCCAACTGTATCAGCAGCAAATGCCTCAAACTGCCTTGCGTGCGGTTCCGATCCCTTATGCTGCTTCAGTAGATACATTAATCA